TGGAAGTGTGTTTTCAAATGCCCATATGATTTGAATTCTTCTATTCATATTTTATTTATAATTTTCGCACCATTTAGTAAATCGAAACAACCAAGTAAATCAAAACAACCCCAAATATAAAGAGTGACTAGTTCTTGTAACGCGCGATGCACGTTGGGGATAATGCCCAATGTATATTGTGTAACACAAAATTTTAATGAGAAAAGTACGGAAGAAGTACTTGTGGTTGGGCCCGTTTTCAGATACAGTATTTAGCACCTCATCATAAAATATCTTTTAATTAAAAAATACCATAATATCAAACAATAAGATATGATAATGGTATGCAAAAGGGTTTTTAAGATTGGAGTTCTTGTGTTGGCCCATCTGTGAAGCTAGACTAAAATAAAAAATAAGTATACTTTTTCTACATTACAGGTGGAATTGAGGCATCAAAGAGATAACCATCATGTACTCTTGCCATAACCTGAAATTTTAAACAACACAATGAAAGGGAGATTAAAGTTATTTACGATGTATTCATACTTATAGAGTTTGGGATGCTAAAAAAGTAGAGTTTGGGATGCAAAGACTTATTTTATGCTCCCTTTACCCCTAAATTGCACTGCCTTTAGCATTTCTATACTATTACGAAAATGAAAATGTATGCTCAAGATTTATTAGAAAGCAGAAGAAAATGTGAACTAAATCAACTAATCAAAGATTTCATTTATGGATTATTTGAAAAGATATGTTTTGTTGACTGATAAAGAAATTGAGAAGCTAATTTGATGTTCAAGTTAAATAAGATAAACATGAGTTGGTCAAGTCTACCGTGTGTATGTTTAATGAACCCTATAAGTAATTTTTTCCACTCCAACTGCAGGAACTAAAAATGCACTTCAAAATCTTGGTCACATCTTATATTACAATCTTATAAACATGAATAGAGGTAATGTCATAACAGGTAGCTTAAAAGTTGGTGCAACTTGTTGCTAAATATGATAGTACTCTTAGATGTAAGAGTTGTACAACTTAGATAATTAATATGTAGACACTTAGACGATTTTAGTTTGCCTCCATTAACATTGTTGGTGTTTATCAAGGAGTACTATGCAGTAATACATATTTATTATTTACATTCTTGAAAAAGTTTTTAATATTATACAGAGTAGTTTAATTAGTGAATGGTAACGGTAGATACCATTCACTTTTTAGTATCACTAAAAATAGCAAGATTGACAACAACTATCAAAATTTCCCTTCGTAAAACTGTTAATGGCATATAATGCAACCCCATTTCTTTGGTTCTAAAGTATTCCAAAATAAATCATACTTGCTGCTTATAGGCATATTTTGTATGCCCATAGCCACCCCAATGCAAATATAGAAATGCTATTAAATAACATGGATAGAATAACAACTAAAACATGCAGGAAAGTTGCTATGAAATACAAAACCAATCTGCAGCAATAATTTGATGTTTTTTCCAAGAAAAATCCACCCAAATGCAAAAAAAGAACTGCGTTAACTGCTAAAAAATGAATGAAAATAATTTTTATGGAAAGAAGAGCAACTCTGCCACCGTAAATGTATTATTGGGCTGCTGTTTTTGCTCTACTCAACATCTCAAAAACTTATTTTCCTGGCTATTCCTAAATGTATGCTTACGGCTGCTAAAGACAACCCAATTATTTCTATTTTTTGCCATTAGCCACCCTATTCAGTCCAAATCATTGCTCTAATAAATACTAAAATAGCTTTTTAGTATGAAGAGATAGTGAACTCTTGAGTTGTCTTCTTTTTAGGATCATTAATAATAGAAAGATTGACAATTTTTATCAAAATTCCGTTTCATAAAACTGCTAGTTGGTATATAATGCAGCCTCATTTCTTTGGTTCTAAAGTACTCCAAAATAAAGCATAGTTTCTGTCTGCAGGGATATTTTTTTATGCCAACAGCCAACCTAATGCAAATGCACAAACTCTATTAATAACATGAATAGAATCACAACTAAAACATGCTAGAAAATTGCTACGAAATACAGAGACAATCTGCAGCAATAACTTGTTTTTTTTTCCAATAAAAATCCATGTGAATGCAAAAAAAAGCCTTAACTGCTAAAGAATGAATGAAAATAATTTATATGTAAAGAAGAGCAAATTAGCAACCATAACATTCTGATTTTTCCAGAAAAGTATGCCTAACATGTAGAATAGTTGTTTAACTATAAAGATAATGACTGTTAATCAAGTGGAAAATGTTCAAAACTAAAATATATATATATATATATATATATATATATATATATATATATATATATATATATATATATATATATATATATTATATGTATAATATATAAGTTTTAGGATGCTTTCCACAAGTATATACTTCGTATATGTATTATATAAGTATAAAATGTTTATATGAAACGGGGTAATGGTCGAGCTGTTTTTATTAAGAAAAAACACCTAAATTCCAAAAAACCTCACAATAGCTAATTTGTTTTCACTAACAACACATTTTTTAAAAAGCAACCATAAACACACAGGAAGAAATTCAACGCAGTACACTCTGAAAATACTGCACTGCCCAAATATTGAGAGGAATTATTTTGAAATCCTAAATTTTATTAGAAATCACAATACGGAAAAAGAAAGGCTAAAACAATCTCCGGGCGTTTAAAAACAAAACAAAATGCCTAACTATTTGACAAAGTTGAACATGGTTAGATCAAGAGTGTTAAATTCGAGCTTAATACCCAATCAAGCAACCTTCTGTGTAAACAAAGGCAGAAACAATCACAAACATGGATAGAGCACATACCAGGAAAAGTGTGAGCAGGTGGGGAAAATCGTGTGCCAATGGAAGAAGATGTATTTATATGGCCATGGGAGAGAAGGATTGAGTTGCAGGTGCAACTGTGCAAGTGAAATTAAATTAGCTTCATAATGCAGGAGAGACACGGAAGAAGACGAAGGGATGTGCGAGCAGCGAGCCTATGCGATTGAATCTGCCTCTGCGTCTATGGATGGAGCTAGATGAGGTGGCCTTGTGGATGAGCGGCTGTTGGGATTGTGGGCATTACTAACGGAGAGGGTTTGCCGGTATAATGAAGGAGACTAACGGCTATACATTATAAGGGAGATAAGCTAGGGAACTTCCAAGTTTTAATTTTACAAACATTTAAGCATATTGTACATGTCAACAGAGCTCACAGTTACCACCAGCAAAATATTTATACCCACAATACCCTCATATTTTATACCCTCATTCAGCTTTATTAGATTGTAGAGAAGAGATTTAAATGGTGCGAAACAACCAATATTTTTGTTATTTCTATGTGCTAGTGCTATAACATTATAATATAAAGAGTGATTGAAACAAATCTTTTGTTTTATTTGCAAGTAATTATTGGATATATGTTAGGTGAATTTTAAATTTATTTACTTCGACTATACTATATACTTTAATTTTGACGAATATTTCCCTCCGTTGAGTACCCGTTAATCTAGCGGGTTGGGGCAGAGACAGGGTGAGACAAGTAGTCGTTAGGAGTAAGGATGTTTTTACTTGGATTGAAATTTGATTGTATGGTATGGCCTGATCTGTTTAAGTATGATCTGGTCTGAATTGGTCTGGTCTGAACTGGTCTAGTCTGAAATATGTTTGATCTATGTGTATTTTATAATTATGGACGTCTGATCTGATCTGGTCTAGTATGATCTACTTAAGTCTGATCTTGTCTGGTCTGGGACTGAAAACAGTTCAAGTAAAAACATTCTAAAGCGGAGTAGGGGATTGTTTTGACACAGGAAAATAGGGGAGTGACCCCCGCCGCATTTGACCATGTAAATGAAAAGATACGTAATACTACCTCGGTCCCACTAAAATTGGGACATAAGGATGTGGTACGACTATTAACAAACGTGGATTTATCTGGTTGATATTGAATTGATAAAGTAAGAATGATTTAGAACAACATTGAATTTATTCAAATTTGGTATGAGATAATTTTAGCGAGCCGAACCGAAAATAAAAGATGAGACAATCTTAGCGGAGTTTTTGCCACTTTTAGTCCTTCGACTATTATGTCATTGACACTTTTGATACTCGACTTTGAATTTTTCCATTTCTAGTCCTTGACAATTTAGCTAGAGATACTTTTGGTACATGTCTTTGAACATTTCCACATTTGGTCCTACAACTTTCATAAAAGTTACACTTTGAGTCCTTCAACTATTATAATAGTGTCATTTTTAGTCCTCCACTTATTGTGTCAAAATCATAATGAGTGGACTAAAAGTATTAATTTGATAATACTCAAGGGACTAAATGTGAGAAACCTCGAAGTCGGAGACTAAAAGTGTCTCTAGCACAATAGTCGATGATTAAAAATGGAAAAATTAGAAGTTGAGTACCAAAAGTGTTAGTGACATAATAGTCGAGGAATCAAAAGTGGCAAAAACTAATCTTAGCGTGACAGAGAGCTTAATATTGTGCCAAATTATCCTTTCCTTATTTTTTTTTTTAAGAAATAATTATTTTAAATTATGCAAAAATAACTATGGCTGTGGAGCACCAAAGTGACCAGTTTTTAGGGAAATCCCATTGATACGTGGATTACTGAACTGATGACAATCAAATTGGAGGGCCTGAATATTAGAGCATCTCCAATGGGATGTCTATTCTCTTACACACTCTTACAATTGGGTCCCATTTTTTATCTCACAAATTTTATGTGTAGGACCTACATATCTCCTTATTTATTTTCATTTTCATTTTTTTATGTCACTTCTAACCCACTTTTCATCCACTTTTGCTCCTCGATTCCCGTGTAATGTCTATTTGTGGACATTGTCATAGACATTGTCTACAATTTACTCCTATCTCTCTCTTCCTTTTCATTTTTCCATACACACCACTTTCTCCATATTAAATTAAAATAATCATCCTATCCCTATCTCTCTCCTATGCCACGTAGGATAGACTTTACTCCAATCCACTACCCAATTGAGTCAGATTTACGAGATTGAACCATTTCGCAAGATCCAAATATCCAATTGAGTCAGATTTACACCCAAAAAACAGAGGCGTCTCCGGCAGTACTTGAGCCTTGAGCTGTCAGCCCGGCTGGCCGGCTGATCGATATTTCCGGCGGTAGACGGAAGAGTAGTGTGCTGCAGCCACCGTCCATCATTTCCTTCCGCATTTTTCTCACAAGCCTCTCAATCTGAGAAAAAGAAGAAGAGCGCCACATAGCTAGTCGATCCGCAGAGTGTGAGGATGATTGGAGTTGGCAAAATTAAACAGTACACTAATGTTCTCGATAAACCCCTCAGCAAGGGAAAACAAGAGGTAATCTCTTTCCTGCAATCCTCATCTGTATTTGCAGGTATCTCAAAGTTCAGATCTTTATTGGCACATTTCGTATGTTTACAATAAAAAAGCGAGGCTTTTTAGCACGCTAAGGATTTTCTTCTTAACCCAGTGTTTGTGGAAGTAAGATTCTATCTATCGAGTAAATTTTGGCGAAATGCTTGGTTCACAGGTTAGCTTAAGCGCATTTGCATTCTTGTTCTCGGAGCTTGTTCAGTACAATCAGACTCAAGTTGATAACATCTCCGAATTGGAAAGAAGGTGATCTTTGATCTGCATGACTTAATTCGAGTGTATTTCTTCATCATTTTTTTAAATACTAGTATGTAATAATTCGTGCATTTGATGACTATTGGATGGATGCGAGATTTCTGAAGATTGTCATCCTCCCAATGGATTATTTGTATCCCGTCGTATGCTTTAGATTCGTACCATGCCGCGGACTTTAATGGGCAAGGGATCAAGAACATCATGGATCTTTGATAAACAAAGAGCAGTTAAACAGTTTTAGATGGACAGTTAAAAAAGAGATTCAAACAATCATTTAATCATTATGATTACTTTTGGATCTGGATCAGGTTAGAGGATGCTGGCTATGCTGTGGGGGCACGAGTTCTAGAACTTCTTTGCCATCGAGAAAAGGTAAAAACATTTAAACCTCAATATATTTTATGTAGTTCTGTTCAACAAGACGCTGTTACTACTCGTTAAGCACATACGGAGTAAGAAATAAACGAGCTAGACTTTCTTTCTCAATGAATTTGGCTAAAATGAGCGGTTTGTACTGTATAGTAGGCGTTTGACAAATTTTCCTCACACACCCACACACATATTTTTCTTTTGGATATATTGGCTATACATCAATTGTAGTGTTACATACTATCAAAATATGCATACATGCTCTGAAATTATTTAAAGTGTGTGAACTTGTGGGCATCTATCCATCCAATGATTTAGGCCCAATCTTAAACATGTTCTTGATCCACTTTACATGAATTCTACCAGGTGGCATACTCCATTAATATTAAACGGTTTCAGATGATTCTAGGTTTGAAGTTATCTATATGATAGATTGATAGGTATACAAAGCAATACCATCTTACTTACGACTGTTCAATTGTTCCCTTCAACCAGCTATTTTTAGATTTTTTTAAAACACTGTCTGGGCAGTTTTGCATGTCCATTACCTTTTTTAGCGCGGATTTGCAAAAAGTTACCTAGAGACTAAAGTTAAAAAAGCAAAAAGAAAAGAAAAAAGAAAGCGCTAACTGGACATCTCATTTATGTTTTTTTATGTGTTGCGATGACGGCAAGAAGCAATTGGTGTATGAACTTACTAACATGCATGAACTTACTAACATTTAATACAAAAACTTTAGAAAGTGGACAGTTAAAAAGATTATAGTGTATTCCATGACTATGAGTCTATGACCATATCATGATCTGTTCAAATTCAGAACAAAATCAAGGCAGTTGAGTGCTTTTATTTTCAATTTGCTGTCTTGATCATTGTACCATTTTAGTATTGCAGGGAAACAGAAGGGAGACAAGGTTGCTAGGCATTTTGTCCTTCGTGCATAGCACAGTATGGAAAGTTTTGTTCGGAAAGGTCAGTTTGAATTTTTTTTCGAACTTCTCTTACTTACTAATGGCTCTCCTTGTAATATCCCTTGTTGTTTACTGAGTTTGTATAGTCTTGAATTGGAGTTTTTTAATTTCTCTGTTCACAAATCATGATGCTCAACTTTTTTATTTTACTGTTTAATATCTGAAAATTTAGATGAATATAGGTATTTATATCTTTAGTTTTATTATATCCTTTGTTTAGTTTAGAACATCATGTACTTTTTGGGGCTTGAGCTCAAATTATTCCTCATATTTTCCTTAATCGTTCTGCTTAAAACATTTTTAAAAAAACAGAATAAAAGATGGTAGGTTTGCGTTATATTCTTTTTTGTATTGAACCAGATTGCTGACTCTCTTGAGAAGGGAACAGAACATGAAGATGAATATATGATCAGTGAAAAGGAGCTTCTTGTGAACAGGTAGAATTTCCTCATGACCAATTTTATGTTAATTTGAAATTCGTGTTGAAAAGTTCATTCCTACAGATTTCTAGCTAACACATACTATGCTTATCAATAGATTTATTTCGATCCCTAAAGATATGGGTGCTTTCAATTGTGGAGCTTTTGCTGCTGGAATTGTAAGGGTATGTAGTGTGAAGAAAGCTGAATTATGTTTATACTAACCATATCACATAACAGGATACATTTCTTTTCTTTTTAAAGGGTGCATGCATGTTTTCCAGCTGTAGTAATGCTTTGTTAGGGTAAAGATAAATAAAAAAGAAAGGCAGTTTGTTTTTAGTGCATTGAAAGCATTAGGAAATAGAAGAAGAAGAAAAGTGAGAAATTAATATTTAACATTCCTCTAAGATTTTTGAGAGTTTTTTAGTGAGTGGGCCCCACATTAATTCCTTAGTTTCCATTCAAACAATACAACCCCCCAGTTCTCTTTTTCCGCATTTCTTTCTTCTCGAAGTCATGCTAAACAAGCATATGGTGGCTATGTGTACCAACCATAGTTCATAACATAATACATCTTATTCCTATTTAAAGGGTGTACTTGACAATGCTGGTTTCCCAGCTGTAGTAACAGCTCATTTTGTCCCAGTGGAAGGGCAGCAGCGACCCCGGACTACCATTTTGATTAAGTTTTCTGAAGAGGTAAATCTCTTATATGTTATTTATGCATGCAAACTCCATTTCATAGTTGCCTTGTAGTTAGCCTAGGGTTTAGACGTTTAGTTGATTTAACCGTGAGATGCTAGGTTCTATGCTGTGTAGAGTCTAAGGTTCCATTTGTTTGACACTGATTGATTATTCAGTTTATCAGATGTTTAACATGGAAATCAATATCATTGAGAGGTTTTCTGTTTTTTGGTACCAAAAACAATTTCCATAGTTATTTGAATTTTCGTGAATGATGACTTCTTATTTGTTGTTTTCTTGAAATCGTTTTACGGTTGTGTATAATATTTTCAATTTTTGTTGGTCAACCATGATACCCCTATTAGGCTATTACACATAGAACTACTTATTTTCCGGGAAATATGTTTTCCAGAAAACATTTACTGCTCGGAACATGTATCTTGGAAAACATTTTATACAAGTTATTTTCCCTAAATGAAACAGAATCTTGCTAGAGAATTCCATAGTGCATTCACTAGAGTAGATTTTCACCTGGTCATATTTCCTACACCCCAATAATAATTGAAATGCTTTATGGACGTATGAGTTTTCTTGTTCCAGGTCCTACGACGAGAGGCGAGGCTAGGTTGATGCTTGTTTTGCCTCTTTTTGGAACGACACCAATCGGAGGGTAACATAGAAAAATCTGTGAAATTAATTTCTTATAAGAAACCTAGTGTTATTAATACGGAGTATTATTAATGTTATTATTATTTCTTATAACAAAACCTGTAGTTGAACTGGAGAAAGAAAGATACATTTACTAGTAATGCTTGGATGTAGATTTTGTGGTGTTGGGGCCAGTGCTTTTGGAGATAACTTGGTGACTGTTCTTAATGTTCTTCAGTCTTCACTGCCATTTGGAACGGCCAAGCATTACCACTAGTCCCTACTATGCCACCATTGTAGGGATGGCCTCGGGCCGGTTAGGGCCTGTGCCCGGCCGGTTCACGGTTCAGGATATGGGAGGCCCGGAACTGGCCTGGGTAACCCCCGGGTTCGGTTCGGGCCGGGCCTCGGTCCAATCTTTTTTTTTTTGGCTTCTCCTAATTAACTCTCAACCCTCCCCCCTCACCCCCAAACCACCCCAAACCACCTCAAATGGCCCAAAATACCCAGCCCAACCCAAAAACTTAAAAAAAATTCAAAAAAAAAATTAAATTTGGCCCGGACCAGGCCCGAACCGGCCGGGCCAGTTAACCATTCCTAGGGCCCGAGCCCGAACCGTATTACTAGCAGGCCGGGTCGACCCGAACCGCCCTATGGCCCGGTTCCCTGGCCGGGCCAGTTCAAACAGTGACCGGTCCGGGCCGCCCGACCCGAGTCCATCCCTGCACCATTGAAATATTGGTCCACATGCAAATAAGGGGTGTTTGGAACTGATTCTTCTGCTTCTGTTTTAAAGCAGAATCAGAATCAGTTTTCAGAAGCTGGTCTCCCTCAACTTCTAAAAAAATTGATTCTAGGAGTAAATTAGAGCACCAGAATCACTTCTGCACTTTCACCCAAACATTTTTGCTTCTGCTCCAGGGAGCAGAAGCAATTTTAAGAATCAGATCCAAACACCCCATAAATATACATGAGAGGTGTATGGTTTCTTCAAAAATTGCAGGGGTAACAAATCAGATTTAAGAAATGAAAGCTTAGTGATTGGGCATTGGCTTGAAAAGATAGAATTAATTCCATTTTTGGTCCTACGAGTTTTGTGTCAATTCCATTTACTTGGACCACTTTCGGTACTTGACTAATGTTTTTAACCATTTATAGTCTTTTTCCGGCAATTTTAACAATCGGAAACAATGCTGGAAGGACCATATATGAGTGAAAACACAATAATCATGTATTAAAAGTGGACAAAGTGAAATATGTGGAGTAAATGTGAAATTGACCTAAAACTTGTAGGACCAAAAGTGGAATTTATTCGAAAGATATGATCACGTGTCACGTTGTTTTCAATAAATAAAAATGCTGAAAGAAAATGATCAGCATTTTATGGCTGTAAAACAAAACAGGAAAGATTAATTAGGGACTTGTGTTCGTACTTCAAAGGTTATACTTCGTAAGTTCGTATTACTTACAGTTCATATGTTTAAAATATATAAATAAAATCAGCTTAACACACCTTTAAAATACGTAATATATATTTTGAATTTAGCACATCTTTAATTTTAACTCAAATACTATTTAAAAATGCTCTTAAAATTAGCACATCTTTAATTTTAACTCAAATGCTCTTACAGTTTTATAGGAGTTACCATTCAACTTTCTACTATGTTTTCTTTCACTACTATTTTCCTGCTTCGAGTTTAACAATCGGAGTTGATTGATGGGAAAATGTACAAATATACCCTTGTAGTATTGATGTGATTGTGTGAGAACAAATATATCATTGTTCTATTTTTCAGAATAAATATAGAAGTATATATGTGGAAGTGTATCTATACTTCTAAACTTTTTAAAAGGTGCAAAAATATCCTTCATGTTCTTATAAAAGAGAAAAAACCAAAGTATAAATTCAAAACTTTAAGTTGATAAAATAAATTTCAAAAAACAACAAAAATAAAGTATAAATTCAAAACTAAAAAATAAAAAAATTTAAAAATGTACTTGTGTTCAATTCTCCTTTTTATTGTTTGTACTAGTAATCTCACCCGTGTGATGCACGACATGAGATTTTGTTTTTTAAATTAATTTATGCTAAACAATTCAAGATACTCTATTCATTGACGACACTATGCAATGCCATGCAACAAAGATATACATCAACGCAACACACAAAACACATTTATAATATTATGGCGAAAATGAGATTACAAAACATGACTTAAAAGTTCAAAACTGTCACACTAATATGTTGAAACCATGACGTTGTAAATAACCGTTTCAAGCAAATCTAAACATTGTTGAAAACTTCTTTGAATACTACATTTTGAGTCTTGTCAGTGGTTCATCTTCATCAACAATCAGAATTTTCAAACCACATCGGTTGGTCACCCTCGAAATTATACAACTGTCCGTGGGTAAATACATGTTTTTTCAACAACAACCCAACACGGGACAAAGACTGACCTTGACTTTTATTTATAGTCATAGCATATGAAGTCATAACAGGATATTGGCGCCGATGAAATTTGAAAGGCAAGTTGGTATCTGATGGTGTCAATGACAATCTTGGAATTAAGACTTTTTCAACAACAACCCAACACGGGACAAAGACTAACCTTGACTTTTATTTATAGTCATAACATATGAAGTCATAATAGGATATTGGCTCCGATGAAATTTGAAAGGCAAGTTGGTATCTGATGGTGTCAAGGACAATCTTGGGATTAAGACTTTTTGTCCGGCACTCACACCAGCTAGAAAATAAGTGTAGAATATTTGTTGAAATTAATAACAACATTTTCATTTTTAGTATTAAAAATAGCCCAATCCTGAGAAGTATTTGGTAGTGTTACAGGCTTCATCACAAAAAATTATCCAGATTCAAGCCCAAATATTTTCTTGATTGTATCTCCATTCTCAAATATCACTTCTATTATGAAATGGGCTGAAGCCCTCATGATTAAGTGTCACCCTTGACCATTTTAAGAGATATTTAACCTATGACTGAACTGTGATGGATTAAATTAAAAAGACCATGAAAAAAAATTAATCTCACGTATAGGGTAGACCTCCAAGACAAACTTAAAAATCAGTCCAAAAATGCTCAACACACAACCCAAAAAGACAACTATTGAAAACAAATTAGTATCTAAAATGAAAAACCAAACTTCAATTCCATACAAATCACGAAAGATTGAAATAGACATAGAATAGATGAAACTTCAACTCTATTATTTAGGAGGGTAGCAATGGAACCAACATTGACTATTGTCACTCACCTAAATAACTAAGCTGTAGTTCGCACAATATTGATGGAGGGTTAGAGCAAATGATAGCTTAAGAAAGAGATGGAGTTGAGCTTTTGGTTGATTTTTTACTTAGACTGGGATACATATATATATACATATATTCTATCAGTAAGGCTGACCTTATCAAATTTTGATGCCTTAGAAGATTATACGAAATCTATAATGAATCACAAAAACCATATTTTTGGGCAAAAAACAGTAAAAAAGTAATGATTACTTCCACTCAGCCTAGATATTATACACTAAAACATTGTTTTCATTGTAAAAGTAACCAATGGTGCGTTTCTAACACAACAATGTCATCATTTATCTTTTCTTTGAAAATGTGGCTTATTTTCTACCACACGGTTAACTGACAAAGCAAGATTTACACGCAAAGCCCATTCCCATTACACTGTTTTTATAAAATATCTCAGATTCAAATATATGTGAAATATGTTTTAATAATTCTGATCGAAAATTTCACAAAACACTAATTATTCATTGATTTTCAAATCTTAAATAATTTCAAAACATACAGAAAAATATTCACTTTCAGTTTGATTTTACCAATGCTTTGATAAAAACTGGTAGACCTCCAAAACATTCTTTGAAATGTGACGGATTAAATTAAATGGGAAAAATGGTGAAAGTCAACTATGATTTCACCCATGTTTTCACCCCAAAACAGATTAATATTAACTTTTACTATGATTTTACCCATACTTTCACTTTGAAAAAAATATTAATCTGTATTACCATTGTACGGTAATAGATTATTTTTTTCTAATGAAATTTCCAACACAGGACTCCTCAGGTAGTTCAAAGTGAAAGACTCTTTGGACATTTTTAAATAAAAGGCCTTTTTCTATTAAAAAAAAATATCCTCATGCCGTGCACAAACCCTGGTTAGTTGTAAATTTGTGATCTGATAAACGTATTGCCGATGTGTAACTACCTGCCCTGGTCATGCCAGCCAATCAGGGGGTGGGGGTGAGATATGGTGTAATCCTGATTCACATCATATTAACTCTATTACATCAAAATTTATAGATCACGAAAATTGCAGCATATGAAATTTTAATATACACAACCATGTCACAGCACTTTGGAAGTTCACTTAATAACATCCTAACGCCGCACCACTTGTTGCAAATTGCAGGTTGACCATCGGTCATTCCATGAATGGCGGAACGCAAATGTTTTTATCGTCCTGTAATTCAATTAAAAGTTGTTGTAATAATTAGACTTAGGCTAGATTTAGGTCGTTCCCTGCTCAAGCCTGACCCCAAGTATGTTTATCTATGCACCGCTCGGCTTTTAATATATCCTAGTCTTGTTGATCCGTTACACGTATATTTACGACATTTGTCTGGCCGGTTCCAGTCAATAATTGTTTTAATGAAACCGGGGGAGTAGTTTAATGGTGCTGCATAGATTATTTTCTGCAGAACTACATCATCCTTTTCACATTAAATCCTCTCCAACAACTTTTTATGATGCCCTTGCCCTTACACTGCTTAAACAGTTTTCTCCTAGAATATAAATTTCTCTGCACAAAAGTCCTCAGGTTTCTCTTAAAAAAATTAAGTCCCTGTTTTAGTTTATTTCCTCTTGCACATATCATTTTTGCCATTAGTACATGAAAATTTTGAAAATTGTTACCTATTTTTTGATAGATACACAACTTGTTTTGTATAACAACAGGTTTTGACCAAGTTAAATCAGGAAGTCCTACATATGACCCATAGATGGATTAAATAAGTCATGACCTCTGAAGGAATATTTCACTGTAGGTCATAGATGATGTTTTTCTCGTAGACAACTCATATATTGACCAATATCCCTGGACCTTTGTCAAATACCTTTACATCTTTGCTAACTTTTATACTTTACATACGTAGTGTGAACATTTTTTTGTAAATAATCTTTTGTTAAAAGATGATTGTTCACGTGTTTATGATCTGTCTCACACACAACTCTTTCAATGAGTTTGTTTAAGTATGATGAATACTCAGTGCAGAATGTGTGTAGAAAAATTTAAAATATTTTTACTTAAAGAACTCTGTGTGAGACAAATCAAAGTGAAGAGGCTTGTAAAATTTCAAGCCTCTTCACACAATGCCTTCTAAAGTGAACATCAACATAGATTATCATTTAGCTAAAGGTGGAAATATGCCAATATCCTCTACGGATTTAGGTTTGATTTGGTATGATTGTATGTGTAACGAACTGCCCTGGTCATACGAATTGCCAATGTGTAACGAACTGCCCTGGTCATGCCAGCCAATCAAGGGGGTGGTGAAATAGGGTGTAATTCTGATTTTCCTCACATTAGATATATAATTTCCAAATTTAGGGATCCTGAAAACTGTAGCATATTCAACTATAATTTGCATATCCATTTTACAACATTTTAAAGACACATGTAAGAACATTCTAACGCAGGACCATATGTTGTAAATTGCAGGTCTACCATGGGAAGTCAAATGAATTGTGGCCTGTAGTTTGGGAATGTAATTTCTTTTTATTGTTCTGTTGTTTTGATCAGAAATGTTGTAATAATTAGACTTAGGCTAGATTTAGGACGTACCCCGCTCCAGCCCGACCCCATGTATGTTGTTCCATGCACGACTCATCTTTAAATTATACGCCTTTGTTGTTATGCTACAGACACTTTAACATGACAAATGTTTTATATGGGTCTCAGGCAAACTATTTATCAAATGAAACACCTGAGACCTATTCAAGGTTGCTGCAGAAAATTTTCTCAGGAACTTCGTTTCCACAAAAAACCTTCCACACATAAGTTATCAGTTTCTCCTTTAAAAAATGCCTACTTTTTCCTCCAATATGAAATCATAATTTTCAAAACGTTGACACACAAATTGTTACCTTAACTTTTTGCAGATCACCCGTATATGCTACACAGGTTCTGACTTGTGTAGGAATGGAATGAGTAACCTTAGGGCAGAGTATAAGGGTATTTCAGAATTATTTTACCCACTTGAACTATGGTGTTAGTCACTGTGTAGTCAAACCATGGCTAACACGAAAAGGCTGTGGAGGTTATGCCTTATTGACCTAATCAAACTAAGGTGTAACTCAATCTTGGAAAATTTTTTCATGCTTAAAATATAGTGTTTTACAAATAAACTAGCATTATTTACTTAATATATATCATTAGATCAATTGAGTTGCAGCCAGAGCACACTTTCGGTTCAAATGTGTGAACCAATAACAAAATCCAAAATACAAAAAATGTAGAAGACACCCGAACACTTATGATAGTGTTAGTATTTTGTCTTCTAGCAACATTTTCTGGTTGTGACCTTTTATTACATTGATACTACTTAGGAACAACATACTGAACAAAACATAGATAGGACACACCAACTGGAGGCAGTTTTATTTAGTTGTCTTCATAACTTAGGTGCACCGAACTCTAGGCACCCATAATATATAGCACTCCCTCCTGCAAACCACACATCTCTTCTCTGGAATTGGTAAACCTCAAGGATTAGGCTCCTCGATCTTTATGCCCTTCATTTTCTTCATTGGCACTGTTGAAGAAGACTCCCCAAACAGATTTTTCTTCAACTTTTCTCCATCAATTTCAAGCGCAATCCTCTTTTCCTTGCTGGTGGGCTTGTTGAATTGACACACTGGGACGACCCAATCTAAAGATTAAGGACAAAATTGTTAGGGACAAAATTTCAATTTTGGATAGACAAAAAAATGAAGGTTAACATTCTCTGTGCCAGAAAACTCCTTCCTCAACAGGGTAAAGTCATCCTCATCCTAAACATTTCAAAAACAAATGCTTGTGTCATGATATATATGCATGAAGTTTAGGTGTCTTAAAACTGCAAATAGTCAGTTATGTACAAACCTCAACTGCTCTTATCTCAAAAACATAAAGGGATATAACCTTAGGATCAATATTCATTCTAAGCACACTGAAGGTTTGGTTGCCCTTGTAGTTCCGGCTGTCCATCTTGCATTGCACACGGAACAGTGCCCTGATATCCATCAGGGCATTGATCTCCGAAGGAAAGTAGTGACGGCCAAAATTTCTCTATAGAAAAACTATGTGTAAGTAGGTTATTCATGAATCCGTAGCAAAGCTTAACTTAAACTGAAACAATATCTGATAAGCGTCAAACCTTGGCTACTTGTTCCTTCAAAGACGAAGCAGAACGACCTATGAGACACAAAACTTCCCTATCCCACAACGTGAATGATGCATGCGATGTTCTGTCGATGACCCTTACGTTCACCTTGTACCTGCACAATAAAATTTTGGGCCGTCATGAGCACTGAAAATCTTATGTTTTCACTATTAAATTCACAATAAAGTACACTGACCAAAGGACTGTATCAGAAGTGTTGCAAGTTAAACACTGGAAAGTGTCACCATTGGGCGAGACTTTGCGGTTTCATCCAATGCAAGAAACGTAAGACCAGTCCTTGTGAATGTCTATTCCAGCAATCTCTCTGTAGACCCAGTGTTTTCCATCCTTAAAAAACAAACATTAGGTAAATATGATATTGGGATGTTGTAAAGCCTGATACGTTTTGAATATACCTCCTCCATTCTTGTCAGCTGGTCAATAGTGACCAATTCGATCTGTCCGCTGCTAATGTCTCCTTCGTTGGACGTATCTGAAGATATTGTAAAGCTTAAACCCTCCCCACACCTTTTAGCCATTCTGTGTAAACAGTGTTTGATTGGTTGCGTCAATCATCACATTACACCTGGCTCTAGGATAGTGTGAAATTTAAAGCTCTTTACCTTGCCTTGAAATCATTGAACACTTCCTCCGACCCATTCATAATGACTTGGTGGTGTTAAACATATTTGACACATGCACTTGACCTAAATCTAGTCTATCCGTTAGTATGAAAATGTAAACCCATAAAAGTATGAATTTAGTGCTCAACAGTTTTAGTTTCTTGATATTAAGAAGTCAGACGATGGTCACCTTGGTATTTTCTTGCTCTGCAGCATTGCAGAAGCATAACTATTGGTTCAGTTGTGGTTAGTTTGTAGGTGACCAACATTTCTACAATAGGACCCCACAACGTGCATGCAATTACATTTCCCCTTGCAAAACATGTTTTGATAAGGAGAATGAACAAAAAAATATGATACAACGTTCATTATAATGTTAAATATTACTAACTCAGTATCTCCCAAGATGAGCTCAAACAGTTTCTTGGGACGATCATTCTTTAGAATCGTTTTAGGGTCTTTGTCATGGACAACCTAGCCAATGATATCTGCATCGTCAGTTTATTTTTAGCATTTCATATAATATAAGGAATACCAATTGTGGTTTCTTTAATCCCAAAAACCTACTGATTGCCGCTCTATCATCGATAGTGTCTTGCGCATGTAGAGTAGAAAAGGACACCAATGAAAATGTCTTCAATGGAAATGGAATTTTCATCTCAAAGGCCTCACTTGTTTTAAAAAACCTTAGCCTGGCACTTGTTGTTGTTCTGAAAAACATAAAGTTTTTTTTCCACCATGAAATTTTTAACTGCAAAGATATGACCCTCCCTAAATAAGGCGTGAAACTTGGCAACAAATTGATCAGGCACATGAGCGTGAATCTTTGAGCCCTGTTATAAAAAAACATGGTTATGAATGAGGGAAAAACATGTTTAGTACAAATTAATATATAAAAACCTCTGCATTATGAAAGATCACTTCCAGAGATGGCGGAAAGCCATCGTGGGCAGGCTCACGATATACCCTTGCTGCCCTAGCTTTGATGGCCCATGTCGTTTTAGTCTGGTCTATCTCGCGTATCATAGACCACATTCCAACCTTTTTCAGAGAAATTTCACTTGGATAGGATATTTGTAATGAAATGTTTTGGTGTGGGAAGAAGTATTCCCGTAGGGTGCTTTTTATAGGGGAGATTAAAGGTGTAGTTACATTTCCAAGTTACATTGTCTAGTTCATTCTCAACCAAGTTAAGTTAGGAACTTTGAAACTTCCCAATAAGAATACTGTTCAGCCACCCATTCCTGCCAATAGGATTTGATGTGAGACTATTCCCACCACCCTCTTTAACCAATAGCAAAAAAGTAGCTCCATCTTCTTGAATCTGAGCCACGAAAATGAATAGGCAGGGTGGGATAACCAGGATTCACACAATTTTAGTGTGTAAACAGTGCGAATTTATTTTTTGACCATTAGGAGTGCAGGAACATGCCTCCTTTTACTGTTTGCACCATTTTGCAAGCAACCGGAACCCAAACCCATCATTCGGATCCACCAAAATGCATTCTTATTTACCCATTGTTATTTTTTGTTTTACCATGCCAACCAACAAATCAAATCATTTTTTACAATTTACTTCAACTATAGCTTGATGTTGACATTTTTGGGAGGGAGTACTATTCACAAAATTCTTTTGCTTTTATATTAGTATAGATATCACAATTTAACATTGCTAGTACAAAATATTATTTCAAAACTATACTATATATTTAAGATTTTTCTCAAAAAAGTGTTAACACCTGCATTGCAATGTAAAACGAATTAATATTTTGCAGTATAAAATTACATATTTTGTATAACGACAAATAGTCCGAGATTACAAAATAGTGAATTTAATTTTATTAAGGTTAAACAAAATCAAAGAATGTTAGTTCGAAAAATATAACTATGTCTTCAAAATTTCACAACAAAGCTAAAATTAATATTTATGAATGTGAAATGCTTCATTTACAATGGAATAATAATAATTTTGAAATTTAAAATTAAAGAGTTAATATTTCAACATAATAATAAATCTTTATTTTTAAAGGGTAAATTTGCTCCTTTATAAGAACATTGGGGGTATTTTTGCTTTTCTTAAAAGTTCAAGGGTATATATGTACTCCAACAGATACTTCAGAGCTATATTTGTTTCAAAAATTAAAATAGGGGTATATTTATTCTCTCACCCATACTACATGAGTATATTAACTATATTTATACTTTTTCCCTTGATTGTTTCAGCTAAGCTTGATGGGAGTAAATTGAGCGGAAATAATAATCTACTTTTTTTTTGGAAGAAATAGGTTTAAATTGATAACATATCATTCAGATAGTAGGTAAACCGACAAAAAGACACCTGAAAACCGTCTCATTTTCAGATCTTAAGAGAACATGGTGATTTTGGACCTTCTGAAAATCTTGAAGTAAAGATTCCAGAGTTATACTTGATGGTCCAGAATCACTTGAGCTATAGGAGGAACAAGAGGTTACCTCAACATCATTGAAGTGGTCATTTGCCATGAAGCATCTGAAGGAGTCGTCTTCATCATCAGACTCATCCTTGGTTACTGAACTCCTGACCCAGCTGCTAACCTTCTCAGTATTCTGCCAGGCTCCAAGGCAGAGTAGTGCTTCTTCTGAGCTTTCTGATGATGAGCTTTCATCACTCGAGCTACTTCCTTCATTATTTTGAGATTCTTCTGTCTTTTTCTCACTTACAAAGGCTTGACGCTTGCCTTTGATGTCTTTGTATCCAGCCTTTTGAGCAGAAGTCTGATGTCCTTGATATTTGTGTGCCAGTGGGAGAGGGCACTCATTCTTGTAGTGTCCTGGATGTCTGCAATTGTAACAAAGAATATTGTTTTCACCTGATTGGGGTCTTCCTTGTCTTCTGAATGGCTGAGTGTATGGCTTCTTTGAGGTAGATTCTTCCTTCTTCATGAATCTTTTGAATTTCCTCACAAACATTGCAAACTGTTCATCAGTGATGAGATTATTGAGTGACTTCTCTGTTGTTCTTGATGCGCTTGGTTCAGAAACTAAGGCCAGTGTCTTGATTTCTTCCTCCTTTTCTTCCTTTATTTCTTTCATCTCAAACTCATAAGCTTTTAAATCACTAAAGAGCTTATCTGTTGAGAGACTTCTGAGATCTCTGCTATCTCTCATGGCATAACCTTCATATCCCATCTTGATGGTAGTACTCTTCAAACCTTGAGAGAGATTTCTTTTTGGGAGAGAGTTTTCCCTAGATCAGAGACCTCTGCAACAATTTTAAGAAATCTGGACTCCATTTCATGGATAGATTCATTTGGCAACATTTTGAAATCTTCAAACTTCTTGAGAGCAATAGTGAGTTTGTTGTCCTTTTCTTGCTCATCTCCTGCTCCAATCTTTGTTAACTCATCCCATACGTCTTTGGCAGTTTCACATTTTCTTATTCTTGGAAATATGGATTCATCAACAGCTTTGAAGAGGATGTCTTTGGCAACATTGTCAAGATTGTTTCTCTTCCTGTCTTCATTTGTGGCCACCCAATAAGGTGGGGGACAAATGGGGTACCCATTTTGGGGTACCTTTAGCTTTTTCCTAGTATATGTATGTATTCTGTACTACTACGTACATTATATTGACCGAGAATAGTCCGAGATCGCCATTTCATTATTGGTTTATAGGGGTAATTTGAGTTTGCACTCCATTTTATGGCCCAAATTGGACTTTGCACCCCATTTTTAATTTTTTTTGTTTTTGCACCCCAATCCCATATGAAAAGACCAAAAAGCCCTCCATCAAGAATATGTTAAAGGCCAACAAAATTGTTAATAGAGGGCATTTTTGTCATTTCACATGGGGTTGGGGTGCAAAAACATTTTTTTTAAATAAAACAGGGTGCAAAGTCCAATTTGCACAATAAAATGAGGTGCAAACTCAAATTATCCCTTGTTTATATTGTCACGATCAACGTCTAGCCACCTTATAGACCACATGCTTTATCTTTGTCACCAAGTTATCCTCCTTGGATATGATTTCATCAAATGAAGTACTACTTTTGTCCTTTAAAACTTTGTCAAGTTTGATTGACACAAGAATTAATAAAAAAAATTGTGCGATTGAAATTTGTGCAGAGGAGAGAGAGGAACATTCCTAATCGCCATATCCAATATACGTAGTACTCCCTCCGTCCCATTAGGAGGTTCCAATTACGGTTTACGATACTTGACTGACGATAAAACAACTTATTCCCGGTTCACACTCTGATTATTTTTAGTAAACAAAATTTACATATTCAGAAACTACATTAAAACCGCTACAAAGCCTGATAAAAATATTGTAAGTTTGATAAAAATTTGATATATAAAACAAAAGATTAAGAATGATTTAAGTTGACCATGTGAATAGTGGATGGGAACCTTTAAATGGGACAGAGGGAGGATTAAATAAAAAAGTCTACTTGTACCCACTTTAATACACACCCTATACACACTGTACCTATATATATTCCCAAAAAAATTTAGGGCTTGTTTGCAATCAATTAAAAAAAAGTGATTTTGGCTTTTTTTTTTAAGAAAAAGCACTTGTTTTACCAAACACTATCAACTTTTACTTCCTCAGTTTTCGTGTAGAATCTACTTTTTACTTTTTCTATTACACAAAAAACACTTATTTTACCAAACACTACCAACTTTTATTGCTAATCACTTTTTCCCAAAAAGTGCTTTTATTGCAAGCACAAGTAGTTGCAAACAGAGCCTTACCCCCCCTTTCATCTCTTTTACCTCTTCCCCCACTCCTCTCTCCCCTCTCCCCCTCCCCCTCCCCCTCCCCCTCCCCCTCTCTTCTTCTACGAACACTTCCCCTCCCCCTTCCTCTACGCCATTTCTTTTTAGTTCTCTCTTCATTTTAAAATCTTTTTTAATTCACCATCAATTATCAACTCATGAAAATTTTGGAGTCTCTTCCTTCCCACATAATGCAACCATTTGTCCCAAAACTTTGAAACTTGAGGTAATAATCAATTTCAATTTTTTCTGTCTTTTGGATTATACTTTTTCCCCTTGTCAGATTCTTATGTGTCTTGTTATGTTGAAACTTGAAAGCAAAGGTTTTAGTATGATGTTGAATGTATGATTCTTTTGTTCCATCGTTATGACTTATGGGTTGGTGGTGTTAATTTTTTAAATTTAAGGTGCCGTTTGGCAACACCTTTTTTCTGCTTATCAGGCTTATCAGCCAACTTTTTCACCAAACACGTAATTTTTGCTTTCGCGCGCTAAATTGTGTAATAAGCAGAAAAAGGTTAGAGTTACTTTTCTAGCTGTATTGGCTCAAATTATTGTAGATGATCATTTTAGTTATTTTTACATATAATTTTTTCTTTATTTTATTAGTAAAATATATTTAAAAAATATTTTTTTTAAATCAGCAGAATCAGCCAATGCAGCCACTTCAGCCAGAACTTCATAAATTTCAGCAGAATCATCCAAATCAGCCGATTCTCGTGCTTCCAAACGGGCTCTAAGTCAAACTATTCTATTTATTTTTTATGCACATGACATGTTTGTTTAAATGTTTCATTGAAATTTTAATTATAGTTGTATGTTTGTTTGTGAATTTCTAAGTTGAACTAGTTTATTTGGATTATTTTGTAATTATAATTGTTTTTGGATTATTTTATAGTTAAGAATTTATTTGAGGTAAAATGGAATAATATGGGAAAGTAGAAGCCTAGAAGGGTAGAATTCTCATTTGTGTTCATAACATGTGTGTTAATTTATATTGTTTGTGCGTACTTAAAATATTGTATGTGTGATTATTTATTTTGTTTGTGTGAAAAAATATTTGTCTGTGTGTTCATTTACCTGTGCTGATATTATCCAGTGCATTTTATGTTCACTGTAGGTCACCTGGCTCTGGAATTTCTCTTGTTGCAGAAACCACTATTGTTTGCTTCATCTCGACTTGTGGAGTTGGATAAGAGGATAAATTTTTGTAATTAGTTATATTGTGAAATTAATGTTCTTGTATTTAAAATGACAGTGTAACTAGAGTTGTTTGTGTTTTCAATATTTATCTTTTGCTAATAATCCAAGTGTAATTAGTCTAATGCTTTTTA